CAAACGTTGGCACTAAACCACTCATCACGTCGCATCCATCCATGATGCCAAATTCATGCAAGTGGCATCACGGCTGCTTCAGCACCGCTTCGTCACCGCTCTCGCTCTTCCAGACAGAGTCCTAGGAGTGCGAGAGAGACAGAGCGACGATGCGGCTCTTCTGACTCGCAGGGCGGCGCAGGGCGGGCGGGGCAGCGCGCACTATGATGGCAGCCCCGTGCAATTAGAAGCCGGCCGGCCGCGGCTTTCCCAGTGTGCCACACTGTGTGACGCGCCACTGCCACTGCACTGCCACTGCACTGCCACTGCACTGCCACTGCACTGCCACTGCACTGCCACTGCACTGCCACTGCACTGCCACTGCACTGCCACTGCACTGCCACTGCACTGCCACTGCACTGCCACTGCACTGCACTGCACTGCCACTGAACTGCCACCACTGCCAAGGACTGCCACTGAACTGCCACTGCACTGCCACGCACTGCCACTGCACTGCCACTGCACTGCCACTGCACTGCCACTGCACTGCCACTGCACTGCCACTGAACTGCCACTGAACTGCACTGCACTGCCACTGCACTGCCACTGCACTGCCACTGCACTGCCACTGCACTGCAGCCCGCATTCCGGATTACCGAAAAGAGCCGCGAAATGGTTACCGTCAAAGGAGCACACTAAATTATTACACGTGTAACTTGCACGATTTTGTGTACGGGGGTGGAATTTGCATAACATTATGCGTAAAAGCGCATTAATTATGCAAGTTTGAGCAAAATTTATACAAAATTGTTACACAGGTTTAAAATTGTGCGACACCGCAGCAAAATTGTGCTCAAACATTTAGCGTGAGCACTTACCAAAAAAATGAACAAATTAAAGTCATAATGAAACGTCAGTCCTAAACCGCCTAGTGAGCTAGAAACGCAAATGACAAGGCAGCAGGCTGATACCACGAGCAAAGGGCACTACGCCATGTCTCTGTCCAACTCACTCCGCAAGGGGTGTGTGTGAGAGAGAGAGAGAGAGAGAGAGAGAGAGAGAGAGAGAGAGAGAGAGAGAGAGAGAGAGAGAGAGAGAGAGAGAGAGAGAGAGAGACGGCGAAGACTAGTGCCAATTGCCGGAATCGGCCTCCAGTGGAAAGAAAGTGGGTGACAAGGTCGTCGAGGATAAATCACCTGACAAACCGTCAGGCCAAGGAAACGACGACGACGACAACAACAACAACAAACAACAACAACGATCCGGACGAAGACGCAGATGGTAAGCGCACAGCATCCAGGATGAGCCGCGAGCACTTCGATTAACATAACCTTTAGAGACGTCCTCCTTAAGTTTTAATACGCGGCCGAACAGGCACATCGTAGGAAGCGGCGGGTCCAGAAGGGCCCGGAAGGGGGGGGGCATGCAGCCGCCAAAACCGCCAAAACTGCAGGGCCGGAGTAAACAAACTTTTGCCAGTTTCCCAGCTGCTGCCCTGACTTTCCTGACTAGCGCAAAGTTTGATGGTGCATGCGTGAGGGCTTCCTTTTCCGGGGTGGAGAGATTTGAATCCGCGTCCGCACGCAGTCACACGTATCCACAACCGAGGGTCGTGAGTCAGTTCACCGTCGCGACAAAGCTGGGCGGTCGCGGCGGCGCACAGTGGAGGCGGCGGCCAAAATTCTAGACGCATTTTAAACCAGAGTCGCTAAATGAGACTCCAACCGAACGTGTGACCCCACCAATGGATTGCTCTTTTCGAACGAGGAATCTATTGGTGGGGTCACGCGTTCGGTTCCAGTTCCATTTGGCGACGCCGGAGCTCAAAACGCGTCTTTGGCCGCCTCCGCCGGTCTTCTGGCCCACTGTGCGGCGTGCGGCGGCGTGGCCCTGACAGCGACCTGCCCCACGGGCCGCGCCGCGCGACCGGCCAGGCAATGAATGGCATGATAAGCCTCCAAGCAAGACATCATCGCGGAGATAGGCATCACTGAAGCCCTCCCTTCCCTGCCGCGTCTCGCGTCTCCCCCGGCCGCCGCGGCGTGTCGAAACGTAAAAGAGGCCCGTTCGAAGCTGTCTCGACCATGGGTCGATGTGATTCATTGATAAGGGGCCTTCCAATCATTACGTTCAGGAGGAACGGATTTGGGGGAGAAAGGGGGGGGGGAGAAGGGGGGGAGAGAAAAGGGGGGTAGAAAGGAGGGGGGAGAAGGGGGGGAAAGGGGGAGAAAGAGGGGGGAGAAAAGGGGGGAGAAAGGGGGGGGGGGGGAGAAAGGGGGGGAGAAAGGGGGAGGAAAGGGGGAGAAAGGGGGGAGAAGGGGGAGAGGGGAGAAAGGGGGGGGGGGGAGAAAGGGGGGGGAAGGGGGGAAAGGGGGGGGAGAGGGGGGAGAAGGGGGGGTGAAAGGGGGGAGAAGGGGGGGGGGGTGAAAAAAAAGGGTTTTTTTGTCAAAATTTGCCGTGGGACCACAAAAATACCCCGCTTCCTCGTCCCCTTTTTTCCAACAACGCCACCCACACCAACCGCCCCCCCCCCCCCACACACACACACAAATGAACAGCCCATAACAGAAACAGAGACTAGAGACGGCAATCAACGAAGGCTGAAAATGCCGTTGCCGCGATTCAATCCAGCGAAGTGCATCGCCAGACGGCGCGGCGTCTCACGCAACAGGCTGCTGCACTCTGGCTGCAGCCGCGTCGAACGCCGCGCTCGCGCCGTGGCGTGCCGTGGCATGGCGTGCCTTGCCGTGGCGTGCCATGCCGTGGCGTGCCTTGCCGTGGCGTGCCATGCCGTGGCGTGCCATGCCATGCCATGGCGTGCGTGCCATGCCGTGGCGTGCGGCGCCCAGCCTTCCACGGTAAAGCCGCACCGGGCGTTAATGGATCGTTCCGGGGAGCTTCCCTTTGCACTGGACAAGCTTGGCTGGGCCTGGCAGACTGGCCGAGTCTACGGAGTCGCGCCGTCCACGCGGGCGAGGCGGGGCGGCGCGGGGCGGCGCGGGGCGGCGGGGCGGGGGCGCGGGGCGGCGCGGGGCGGCGCGGGGCGGGCGGGGCGCGCGGGGCGGCGCGGGGCGGCGCGGGGCGGCGCGGGGGCGGGGCGGCGCGGGCGGCGCGGGGCGGCGCGGGGGCGCGGGGGCGCGGGGCGGCGCGGGGCGGCGCGGGGCGGCGCGGGGCGGCGCGGGGCGCGCGGCGGCGCGGGGCGGGCGCGGGGCGGCCGGCGGCGGGGGGCGGCGCGGGGCGGCGCGGGGCGGGCGGGGCGGCGCGGGCGGCGCGGCGGCGCGCGGGGCGGCGCGGGGCGGCGCGGGGCGGCGCGGGGCGGCGCGGGGCGGGCCGGCGGCGCGGGGCGGCGCGGGGCGGCGCGGGGCGGCGCGGGGCGGCGCGGGGCGGCGCGGGGCGGCGCGGGCGGGCGGGGGCGGGCGCGGGCGGCGCGGGCGGCGCGGGGCGGCGCGGGGCGGCGCGGGGGGCGCGGGGCGGCGCGGGGCGGCGCGGGGGGGGGCGGGCGGGGCGGGGGGCGGCCGGGGGGGGCGGGGGGGGCGGGGCGGGGCGGGGCGGCGGGGGCGGGGCGGGACGGGGCCGCTTCCAATTCAGTTACAGCCGACAATGAGCCTTACTTTGCGGTGGGGGCGGCGCGGAGGGAGTGAGGGGGGGAGGGGGGGAGATGCAGGGAAGGCAGAGGCGGTCGTCGACCGGAGTGAGCAGAGCGCAGTCGTAGGCGTAGCCAAAGGTGTACATAGCCAAAGACTGTCCCGCCTGCAGACTGATTCCGAGAGTCGTTTACGCCGCTCTGCCTCTCGCACCTATAAGGGACGCCCCATGATTTCGAGAGAGACAGGGCAACGAAAAAGACTCTCGGAATCAGTCTGCTGATTCCCTCAGACTAAGGTCTGATGACTCATTACATCGGTGACACACCGTACTTTTATCAGGCGCCAGCCGAGCTGTTCCAAAGACTTGCTTTCCGTCTCTCTCTCTTTCTCTCATCCGTGTAGGACGTCCCGTAAGTACGACAGAGACCGAGCGACAAAGCGACTCTTTGAAATCAGACTGCAGGCTCTAGGCTATGACCAAGGGCGAATAAAAAAGGAATAAGAATTCACTTTTTAAAGTGGTGCACAATCACAGATATTGAAGGAAGTAACATATTGGTATCATCCCCTGGAACACCTGACGTTTATTCGGTTTGGCTGACAGTCCTGGCTGAGCAGCCGACGGAGTGAGGAAATAGACTCAACTACCTCAGCGTGAGGACAAGTACGACACATTTGGTAGGGGAAATGGCAGTAATTCCACATCACGCAGTGGCAGCACCAGACTGCGAGAATCCACTTGGAAACGATTGCAAGTGGGCATGCGCATACTTCATCAAAAATTGAGAGGAAGTGTGACTGGAGCCTGGAAAGATTGTTGCTGTCGCACGCTAACAACTTTGGAAAGAAACATTGCGAGTTTAGAGAGGCCTAAGTAAGAAAGTACAATTAAAACCCTTTATGTTAGAGGGCTTTCATAAATTCTGAGACGAGACACAGGTAATAAGACCCGAATAATGATAATAATAAAAGCAACAAGCGTCACGCTTCACAAACTTAAATCATTAATAAAAGTTCGGCAGCAAAGAGCAAAGGGTACCAAAATCTTTAACAGCTTGAGTCATTAATGGAATGATAAACAAAACAATCACATAGCTTTTCACAATGTTTCGACTTTAGATGAAAAATTATTCGGGGACTAATTCAAAAATGAATGACATTTAACTGTCTATATTCCAGGTTAGGTTCTGCATCAGGGGTAACTTAGACACACAAGAAAGGGCGATGGACTTCAAAATCAAAGAACGACAACGCCCGTACAAATTTATCAATAAACGGCGGCTAACAGTGGACGTCAGTTGACGGCCTGCCATCGACAGAATTGGACAATGTCACTCGAAGGGGTTGAAGGGTGATCCCACCCTCAAGAAAAGCGGGCAAAGGCGTTGATGACGACACGGTCAACAGAACTTGGGGGCTGGCAATGGCACTTACCTCAGCGATAGCTTCGCTCGGAGATCCGCCTGAAGTGCCAAATCGGTGTCTTTCTTTCCAGAAAACTAGATTATCTCAGTGAATCATCGCACAGGATGAATGTTAACACCACCACCACCGCCTGTCAGTGTATTTACATTATTTAGAGTGCTTCTTCAAGTTGCCACGAGGGGGCAGCACTGTCCTCACAGTCCGAGTATGAGAAATTGCCGTGCAGCGAAGTGTTGTTTTTTGTTGTTGTTGTTTGGATTTTGTTGACAAACATATTACGAGACATTTATGTTATAACTGTTGATTATGCACTTTGACCGCAAAATATCTTGTCTTAAGTCATAAAACGACAAGCACGCCATTGGAATTCTGTCGTGCCCTGTTCCTTCAGCGCCTATCTCTGAGATATGGTGGTGCTCTGATCCGATAACCTTCATGACACCTGTCAAAAGTGCCAAAGCCTGCTATTTTCTGTCTCCTTTGAAAAGTCAAAGGAGATTGTCATTACTGTAATTTGAGCTTATGTCATGGATTCCATTTTGAGTCCAGAAAGTGTCCTCAACCTCAATGTTGGTATTTTGGGTCATGTTGATTCTGGGAAGACTTCCCTGGCGAAATCTCTGAGTGTTGTTGCTGGCACCGCTGCGTTTGACAAAAACCCACAGTCTCAGGAGAGAGGAATCACCATAGACTTGGGGTTCAGTGCCATTGTTGTCGATGTACCAACTAAACTCTCCCAGGAAACATCCAAAACAAAGCTGCAGTTTACATTTGTCGACTGTCCTGGACATGCTTCGTTAATAAGAACTGTTATTGGAGGTATGTCTTGTGTTTTAAACGCTGTATCAAGTTAAGGACATTCACAATTCACAGATAGGGTGGGGAGGTGAGGGCGGGGAACTGTGAATTATGAGGACTACCCACCTCACCCCTGGCCCTATCTGTGAATTGTGGATTTCCTTAACTTGATATAGCCAGGATATAGCCATAATTGTTTCAAGGTAAGAGAATTAACAGATTTACAGATGAAATGTTCCATTCAATTGAAAGGATTGTAAAGGCATATTTTTGCAAATCACATGAAAGCAATCCCTTTTTTCTGGTCATCCCTCTGCAGATACTATTTTTCTGGTCATTTCCTTGTCATTGAGAGGCCATGGCCTTATTTTCTGATGGGGATTTGGTGGGTGGCTAAGGTTTTGTGGTGTATGTTATTCATTCACAGTCATTTTTCTTAATGTAAACAAAATTATAAGCCTCTCTCTTTAGAACTAAATTAGTGTTACATACAAGCATCGTCATAATCTCTCTTTCTGTTGCAGGATCTCAAATTATTCACATGATGTTATTAGTCATTGACATAACTAAAGGAATGCAGACCCAAACTGCAGAATGTCTTGTGATTGGGGAAATTATGTGCAAGAACATGATTGTTGTGTTAAACAAAATTGATTTATTGCCCATAGAAAAGAGAAATTCTTCAATTGAAAAGGTCTGCATGAATGGTCTAATGAAAGCCTGGGCTTGTATTTTATTGTATTGTAATAATGTTAAATTAATTTACAGATGAAAAAGAGGATGACTCTTACTTTAGCTAACACAGTTTTTCAAAATGCACCAATTGTTGCCGTGTCTGCGATGCCAACAGATGGAGATTCAACTGGAACGACTAGCTTTGGTAGGTCCCATTTCATAATATCCCTTCTAACTGTCTGCCTTTGCTCTGTTCTATCATTCTCCTTTCACAACAGAATGTCTTTTCTGTAATTAATTCTATTTTTTACAATATTAGTGGATCTTCATGGAGCATGTTGAACTTCTTACTTGGACATGGTAATTTCAACTTTGCATCAAAGGGCTATGAATGCTGAGTGCTCTGCTTGCTTAAAATATACTGAATTTCTTTGAGATCTTGGCTTGTGGTAAAAGAGAAGTATCTATATTAGGAATTAACTTTGTATCTTGCCCTTTTTAACAGGTCTTGACGCATTATTGCAAAGCATGAAAGACATGGCTTCTCTTCCCACAAAAAGACAGGAAAGGCCATTTGTATTTGCTGTCGATCATTGTTTCAACATCCGAGGGCTAGGTACCATTATGACTGGCACAGTTCTTCAGGGAAAAGTTTGTCTAAGAGATGTGAGTCTTAATTTTAATTTAGCCTACAGGACATTCCTTACTACTTGACTTCTAATTCTCTTCTTCTCTTTTTCTTAAAATAGGAGATTCAAGTACCAGCCATTAGCTTCTCTGGGAAAGTAAAATCAATGCAAATGTTTCACCGCCCAGTAGAATCAGCAGAAGAGGGAGACAGGCTTGGAATATGTGTGCCACAATTGGACTCAAAGCAGCTGGAGCGAGGACTTGTCTGTCACCCAGACTATATTGCTTTCATGTGGGCTGCAGTATTAAAAGTTCATCGCATCAAGTATTTTCAATCAAAGATAAAGTCCAAAGATAAATTTCACATAAGCATAGGCTATGAAACTGTAATGGCCATTATAACAATTTTTTCAGCCCCTAGTGATATGTCTTTTCATCTTCAAGCAGACTACGAATCAAAAGAAGAACTTTCAGATGGTGACAATTATTTCATGCTTTTGCAGTTTGAAAGACCTGTACTGGCTCTTCCAGAAAGCCTGGCCATTGGATCACGATTAGAAATGGATACGAACGGAAATGCATGTCGCTTAGCATTTTGGGGTCGGATTGTACATCAAATATATGACAAAGCATATGAAAAAACATTCCTTCCGCAGATGAAAATTTATAAAATGTTGGAAAGGAAAGGGACTGTGGAACGTGTAGTCAATAATGATGTTCTTATAGCTAAGAACCTCATTAAAAAGGAAACTAATGCCCAAGCTTTTGTTGGTCTTTCTGTTGTTCTGTCCAGTGGAGAACATGGAATGATTGACAGCACTTTTGGTAAAAGTGGAAAACTCAATATACGGATCCCGGGTAAGGCCCTCCCACTATCTTATTTTTGTTTTTTTTAATGACAGAAAATTATTTTTTACCCTAAGCTATTTTGGCACTTTCTACTACTAGTATCTGTTATGGCTTCCAGGAGGGCTCAAGGAAGAAACAGTTATGAAGTACAAGAAGCAAGGATCAAAAAATGAAGCAGAATCAGATCAACCAACAGACGTTATCTTGAGGTTCAAGCGCTACATCTTCGACCACCAGAAGAAAATGGTTCAAGTTTGATATACATTACTGTTTTTGTTTGGGTTTAAATCATTAAATAAGTTAGAGTTAAAAAATTTGTTCTTGAAAAATCTTTATCCATAAAAAAAACCATTATAAAGAATAAGATAGGTGATGCCTATGTAAATCTTAATTATACTGAGAAAGAAGAATCACAATCATTTACCTGTATTGGAAACAGATCATAGGAATGACATTTTTTATTGCTGGGTTGACAAATCAATTCAATCAGTTTCCTTTTTCAATCTCTTTGCCTCCGGTAGTGTATCATCACTTTCGCATGGTTGGGGCTTATTTGCTTTTTTCAGCCAGTTCATCATTAAAGGATTTGCTGGTTTTGGTTTCCTGACACGAGAAAAAACAAAACATAAAATATTCTGTCAATGGTTTTAGATATTTGATTTGCCCACTGAAGCAAGAAAATTATTGTGGCTGAAACAAAAGTAATTGCTGAATGTATGGATATAAATACTATACTCACTTCAAATCCACTGGTTTGTTGCAAACATCCGATTTGTTTCTAGAATTGTTTACTGCAGTGCTGACAGGGTGCCAAGACAAACTATCCACTGGCTTTAAAAGCTGCAGTGCTTTATGAGATGGCACTCGCCCACAGTCAATCCAGTCCTGGGCAGAGAGAAACAAAGTCAAACTTGTTAAAGAATGTGACAGTTTGGTAGGAGTTGATGTGGGAAAAAAAAACAGTCTTACCATCACTTCTTCATCAGAGTTTAGGATGGCTGGCATTCGATGGTGCAACCAGGAAAAGGTGGCATTGGCCTCCATAGTGATTACTGAATAACTGTAAATTGGTTTCCCCTGGAGTTATGAACAAAAAAGGCTGTTAAAGGCAGGCACTTAATTTGTAACTGCAAATGACTCGTTAGTTTTGTTTACCTCTGACGATGTCCAGCAGCTGAAAAGTCCTGCCATTTTCAGTAGCTTTGGGCCTTTCCACCCTTCAGTTTCACTCCACTCACCATCCCAACTGCCTGGGTCTTCAACTTTGACCTTGAAAAGAGGAAGAGAGTGTTAAACTCTCGTACCCAGTTTAATAGACCTCAATAATAATATCTTCAATAAAAACTTGCCTCATCATTCTGTGGTGCATAAATGTAATACGGTTGTTTTACTGAAGATTCCTTTTTTGTAGTTTGCCACTCATAAAATCCTTCACACAAAACAACGCATCTCCTGCCATTAGAAAATGCAGGCGAATAAAGCTTTGAGCCGTTCATGTTCTCCAAGCGACAGTTGTTTGTAGACAAACCATGTGACTTAATATCTCCCTGCAGATACATAATAAAATAAAGTTTGGATCAAAAAAAAAAAAAGGAAAACAGAAAATACCATGACTAAAACAACCTTATGCCATGGTGGAATCATTCCCCACATCATAGGATAGATGACAGGCTCATTATCTTTGTGATCAAAATGTGAAGCGTTGACGAGAACAGGAGTTATGTCAGTTGGGGCCAGATTCACAGATGGTCTATAGTCCATTCCAGATAAAGAGTCTTTCCACTCAGGCTTTAAAAATTTTCCAGATTTTGAATCTTTGAAGCTAGTTGCTTTACAAACTGTCTCTGGATCCAACGCACTGAAACAAAGAAACAGAGTAGTGCATCAAGGTTATGAAAGAGAGAGCACATTGTTTTTTGAACCTGGCATAAAATTTCGTACGTATATCACTTTAATTTATGAACGGGGGATCTCCAGTTTGCCAAGGACAAAGCTATTACAAGAAACAAAGGGTGTCATAATGGTTCCAGGAGCCACAAAGTTCTACGTCATTGTTTACTCACCAGGCAGTCCGTCCACACATTGCGACAGAATAGATTTAGAAATGTTTTGAGGTCGGAGAAAAATGAACTGACAGTAATGTCTTGCCTTGTGCCACGATAAAATTGCGGTGAAAATGGACACTTTTGCACGGACGCTAATACTTTGCAGACGACAGACCGCGTTTCAAACAAACCCTATAGAAACCAACATGGCGAAACTAAATTTATCAATGAAATTACTGCGGGTCTGACAACAACCCAACAAGAGGTGAAAACTTTTGAAACAAAGGAGCCTAATTCCTCCGTACAGTAGTCGAAAATATGTTCCCCAGTGAAAGTTGACTCAAAATGTGATCAACTCGTCTGGGTCTGAAGGTTGGCTCAGCTGACAGAGGAGCGGTAAGCTTCAAATGTTTTGAACCACCAGAACTGATTTTCAAAATTACAATCAGGACGGGCCAAGGTGCTTTAGGATTTAGAAGGATCCCAGAATGATTTCTGGACAGCAATTCACTCGGCAGACCGTAGCGCCCGGCGGGTAGGCCAGCAACCAGTCTGGCAACGTCTGTGTCAGGAGGGTGGCCTTCACGCGCCTGCAGGGAGCGAGGTAGGCCACCAATCGCACTCCAGCGAGCTGCGGGACTCGTCGCCTGCCTACCCGCCAGGCGCTCCGAGCCGTCCCAGTCGGATTTCATGAGCAGCCTCAACAGGGCCGTGCGCACGCTGTCCAAGCCCGCTCCAAAGACATCGAGTGCATTTACATTTGAATTTGCAGAGTAGGACCCCGCTGTCCTGACAGTATCTGTTTTTTCCACGGAGGTTCAAAAACGAGGCGAAGCCGGACGTTGATGGTGATGGTCGCCTCGCCGACAGGCACTGTCGGTCCAAAAACTAGGAGCGACAGCAGCAGGATCAATACGAATTTGGTATTCTAGGTCCTAATTGTTTTCGGACGGAGTGGACGCTACGAACGCGCCACGCCCCATCCTTCGCATCAAGATCGTCCACGTCAGCCGAAACGAGGGAAAGAATGCCTGTCCCGTGCGGCCGTCCGCCCTGCGGCCCCGCGCCGAGCCGCTCCCTCGGCGATCTGCCATTCGATTCGGCCGCACTGGCTTGTCGTGCACCTCGCGGGAAACACGGAGGGCCTGCCACCACAGACGTTTCTCAAGACTCTCGGTCTTGCACTACGGTGGGTGAGAAGGCCGGTGGAGGCGGTCAAAATCCCGGACGGGCTTTGAGTTCCAGAGTCGCTAAACAGGGCTTAAAGCGAACGTGTGACTCCACCAATGGCTTGCTCTCTCTGAACGAGGAATCCATTGGTGGGACCACACTCGCTTCGAGCCCTGGTTGGCGACTTTGGAGCTAAAAACGCTTCTAGAGTTGTGAGAGTTGTGCCCAACGGCGCCTGAGCCACTGTGCGCCGACTCTGTCAGTCCAAGCCTTCTTTGCAAGGCAGTCCGGTGATGAAACGGTCTGCGCAGCGCGCAGCACCCCGACGGCGCCATGTTCTGGCCCTTCGTCGCGCTCGCCGCGCTCGGCGTGCCCGTGCTGGCGTGCACCGCGGCCCTCCTGCCGCCGCGCCTGGACGCGCTCCCCGAGGCCGAGTGCGCCATGTCGCTGGTGCCCGAGCTGCTCGGCCAGAGCCGACAGCCCCGTCTGTTCGTCGTCGGCGCCGTCCCCTGGCTGGGTGCCTTCCTGCACTGGTAAAACAAGAAGCATAATAACTGGAAATCTCCAACAATCCAGGCCATAATCACGCAACCCTTTATGAAATTTCACCCTTTTTTGGCGTTTTTGAACCAATTTTCTAAAATTATTCGCGTAATCCCCAGTAAAATTCCCGTAAACCCGTGATCTTGTGTACGCCTGAAATGAGAGTTGCAGCACCCTCGTAAGACGCCCCTGAAACGGGCCTTGAAAGGGGCGTGAACTAGCAGGGATTTCTGGGCAAAATTTGAATACCCTTTCACTTGACGAAGTTTTTACCGAGGGGGCAAAAACTCGCGCAATCATCGCGGCCCCCGAAATCACACGCGAATCATTGAGAATCACGCGAAAACAAGCAATCCGAAATCAGCCAAAATCACTAAAATCAACCGAAATTAGGCAGAATCACACGAAACCAGGCCAAATCAGTCCGAAATCATTTCTTTCCGAACACAATCACACGCAATCACGCTCGACATCACCCTGGTGCGTCGCGAAATAAGGCAAAATCAGCCATATGAAATCAACTAAAACCATGCGCAATCATTGCGTTTTCCGAATCATGTGTACACGAAAACCCCGAGTTTTTGCCCCCTCGGTTTTCACACACCTTTGTTTCCCCAGCGTGGGCCGCCTGCCCGCCGCGCCCGCAGTCACGCTGCTGCCCGTCGACGTGGACCTGTGGCGCGACGCGACGATCCGCATGAGGTCGGACGACGCCGTGGTGCTGGTGGTGGCGGAGTCCCCCGCCGCCCTGGCGCAGTCCGTGCCCGTGGTCACCATCCCGTCCACGACGCGAGTCGTCATGTGGGCGCGCTTGCCGCACGGCGGCAACGCGTCGGACATCGCCGTCGGCCTGCGCTGGCAGTGCCTGGTGAACGCGCTGCTCGTCCTGAGCGCCGCCGACGGCAGCACCGCGGTCCTCAGCAACCCTTGCCTCTGCGGCGAGCTGCCTCTGTCCAGGGCGGTGGAGGTGAACGCGTGGGCGCCGGGGCGCGGCTGGCAGCACGCAGACAGGCCGTTGATCCCGCTGTGCGGGAAGTGGCGGCCCCCCGCCGACGGCGTGCTCACGGCGCTGGTCCAGCCGTCGTACTTCGCGGCCACGTGGAGCCGCTGGGCCGCCGCGGCCGAGCGGCAGCTGCGGGACTTCTCCAAGTACCACGCGCTGGCCCTGGCCACGCGCAGGCTGCACCGCGCGCAGTCCGCTCGCAAGTTCGTCCTCATGCAGGAGTGTCGGCTGGACGTCATGGCCGGCCCTGCCCTGATGAACACCGCCTTCGCCGAGTGCGCCTTCCCCTGGGACATGAAGCGCGTGTTCGTCGCGGTGCCCAGGGGCTTCCTGGGCCGTCGTCGGGGGCCGCTGGCCGAGCTGGCGGCAGGGCTCAGCGCCGCGGTGTGGTGCGCGACGGTCGTCGGCGTCCTCACCGTGGCCGCGGGGCTGCACGCGTCCAGCAGACTGCGTGGGAGGCCTCTTTCTCGCACGCATGGGGCGCTGCGCACCGGTGCGAGAGAGGCAGACCGACGGGCGCACCGTGCGGGCCTGGCCGCGGACGACGCCGTCGAGGCCGTGCTGCAGGCCGTGGCGCCGCTCGTCGGCCAGCCGCCCGGCAGAGCGACGGGGGCCCAGCGGCCGGTCCTGGGCGGCTGGCTGCTCGTCGGCGTCGTCCTCACCGCCTCGTTCCAGGGCCAGCTGCTCAGCAAGCTGACGGTGCGCGACCCCGTCCAGGACATCGACTCCGTGGAGCAGCTGGCCGCCAGCAACCTCACCTTGCTCCTGCACAGCCCGGTGTACGCCGCGATGTTCCCGCTGCGGGAGTGGGGGCTGGCCCCCCGGGTGCAGTTCACGGCGTTCAACGGCTCCACCCTGTCGGACAATCTCCAGACCGCCATGGACAGCCGGCGGGCCGCGACGTTCGTGAGGGAGGAGTCCCTGGCCGAGCTGGCGGCGCTGCCTGCCGGCCTGCACTTCTTCCCGCTGCCCATCCAGCAGTCCTCCACCTACTACGGAGTCATGTGCGAGACGGAGCTCGCCGCGAGCTTCGGGAGGTTCCTGGGGCGCTGTCGCGCTGCGGGGGTGCACCAGCTGGCCGCCGGGGTGGACGCGCTGCTGGCCGCCGCGCGGGCGGACGCGCTGCCGTCCACGAGGCCCGCGCCCATCAAGCTCAAGCACGTCTGGCCCGCCTTCCAGATCCTCCTCGTCGGCCACGCCGCCGCTGGCATCGTCCTCTTGCAAGAAATGTGGATGAACCGATCCAGCCGCTTAGTAGTGGCGTAATACTAGTCGACATTCTCAGACTCTTACCCATTCCCGGGTTGTTTTGGGCCATTTTTGGCTACTTCCCGGCGAAGTAGACGGGTCACTGGTTTTCAGAGTGCATGCCCCCTCCCTCGAACGACCCGCTTTAGTAATTGTATAAGGTTTTATTGTTCAAACCGAACGATCATTGAAGAAAGCGCTTCACAGTTGAAAACTAACTTCGGTTGAACAAGTGTAGTGGCGCCAGTGGCGTGCGCAGGGGGGGGGGGGGGGGGGGGTCAGGGGGTCATGACCCCCCCTTTTGCCACTAGACAGCCGCCTGGAAGGTAGGCAAATTGCGTCACTTTCCCCCTGTAAGTAGACAGAAAGCATGGCATGACCCCTCCTTTTCAAAATTTCGTCGCAAGCCACTGAGTGGCGTGCTGTTCAAAACATCCACCAATGACATGCTAGTGCAGCCTTTCACCCGTCTGACATTTGAAGTGCGAATTCCACCGATTTCCAAGCGACGCGAAAATGAGGAGTCGTGGAGGTGGAAGTCGGAAGCGTGGACCAAACAAACGCGACCAGCACCCCCTTTTTTTTGGGAGGGGGGCAGTGGGTTGACACCCTAGATAGCCGCCTGAAAGGTACGCGAAAAGCCATACCTCGCCCCCGCCAGTAGGCTACAAGAGTGCTACTTTGCTTCCCAACCCCCCACAAGGCTGCCTCTGGATCCGCCACTGGGCGCGGCGTCAAACGGCTGGCAATGCTGCGCCTGCGAAATACGATGCTCAATCATTTGGAATCATGCTGATTCCGCGGCATCGCGGCCCAAGCCGCTGGTCGTTCGCGTCAGGGCGGTGCAGGGCGCTGTGATCGGGAAAGTCCGAACCACCGCCACCGCCCCGCCGCTTCGGGCCGATCTCCCCCTCCCCCTCTCCTTTGTCTACATGGTCCTGCTGGTCCTGCCGGCGGCACAGCTGCGGTTGCGCACCCGGCGGGCGGCGGGCCCCGGGGAGTAGCGGGGAAGCCGCGGAGCGCGCACAGCACAGTGGCACAGTCAGTTCTCAGACAACCCGCAACCGAGCAGGGTGTATAGCGTTTGGCCGAGGCCTTGTCCGCCAAGGCGCGAAGAACCGGGTCAGTCTGTAGAAGTCCGAGTGACTTGTGACCGCAAGTGTTGTGTGTGCGTGTGTGAGTGTGTGTCTCTTGCACGGTTACCATCGCCAGGATAGCTACGGACGTTCCTGTGCAGTGTGCAACCAACTTGTCTTCCTCGTTCACGATGGCGCTCAATGGATTCAGTGCTCAACATGTGCCGCTGCCCGGATTACCTCTTGCAAGACCAGGTGGGTAAAAAAGTTACAAGGACCTCGGCCAAATTCTTTGCGTCCGTGCGGAGGCGCACCGTGGGGTGCAGGCGTTCGCGCAGGCGTTCGTGGGTGTAAGCGGCCGTTCGCGGGCGTTCAAGCGGGCGGTCAAGCGGGCGTTCGAGCGGGCGTTCAAGCGGGCGTTCAAGCGGGCGGTCAAGCGGGCGTTCAAGCGGGCGGTCAAGCGGGCGTTCGAGCGGGCGTTCAAGCGGGTGGTCAAGCGGGCATTCAAGCGGGCGTTCAAGCGGGCGCGGGCGTTCAGCGGGCGCGGGCGTTCAAGCGGGCGTTCAAGCGGGCGTTCAAGCGGAAGCGGGCGTTCAAGCGGGCGTTCAAGCGGAAGCGGGCGTTCAAGCGGGCGTTCAAGCGGGCGTTCAAGCGGGCGTTTAAGCGGGCGTTCAAGCGGGCGTTCAAGCGGACGTTCAAGCGGGCGTTCAAGCGGGCGTTCAAGCGGGCGTTCAAGCGGGCGTTCAAGCGGGCGTTCAATTGGGCGTTGAATCGGGCGTTCAATTGGGCGTTGAATCGGGCGTTAAAAAGCGGGCGTTCAAGCGGGCGTTTGCGGGCATGGCGCGGGTATTCGCGATTTTTCGCGGGCGTTCGCTTGTATTTTCGGTAACCGCGCTGCAGCCTGATTTCGAGGGGCAGGTCTCGTCGGTCTGTAAGCGGGACGTCGAGAGAGAGAGAGAGAGAGAGAGAGAGAGAGAGAGAGAGAGAGAGAGAGAGAGAGAGAGAGAGAGAGAGAGAGAGAGAGAGACCCTCCCCTTGTAATCAGCCTGCAAGCGTTCGCGGGCACCGTGCAGTACGTGCTGTAGGGCTGGGCGCTGGGCGGTTTCCAGTACAGAATACATACCGGTTTGCAGGTTGAGTTTTCCCATGAACCGGCCTGCCGATTGAGACCAAGGAACTGAACCGAAAACTGAAGTTGAACCGGTAAATGGACGAACCGTCGCAGAGCTACTTCTTATAATTGAACCGTCATAAGTCAAGGGAAACTAATGTGATTTTCATGGAAATTTGAGGCGTTCCCAGGCAGTCGCCGGCGCTCGTGGGCGTTCCCCGGCGTTCGCGAGCGTTTGCAAGCGTTCGTGGGCGTTCGCAGGTGTTCCCGGCCGTTTGCGGGCACAGCGTGGGAGCACAGTGGGCCAGAAGACCGGTGGAGGCGGCCAAAACTCTAAAAGCGTTTCGAGCTCCAGAGTCGCGAAACAACTGGACTCGAACCGAACCAAACGTGTGGCCCCACCAATGGATTCCTCGTTGAGAGAGCAATCCATTGGTGGGGTCACACGGTCAGTCCAAGTCCCCTTTAGCGACTCTGGAGCTCGAAACGCGTCCAACATTTTGACCGCCTCCACCGGACCACGCGGGAAAAGGGGGAGGGGGGCATGGCCTGAGGCGCGCCAGGGGCTCGTTAATTTCGTCGATGGATATGCGGCCAGGTGCAGGCCACGGTGTAGGGAGATCTCCCTACACCGTGGTGCAGGCACAACGGTGCACCTGGACTGGGGCAACAACCTTAACCTTTCCTTGACAGGGGCGTGCGCAGTAGCCAGACTTTTCGGCGGAAAGTGACGCAATTTGCGTGTATCTCACTGACTCCGGTCTGGTGCGGAATGGGAACACCGGACACAGCCACGCACGCCACTCATCCTTGACGCGGTATTCCCCGCGCCTCGGACCCGTCGCGCGTCGCTGCGCTGCGTGACCCCGGCACTGGAAAGCCCTAAACCGAGTCCTTCACCCTGCGCCACCCGAGGGAAAAAGCATTCGCGTGCAAATTAATTTAGGGGCTCTACCGCCATGGAGCCCCTCTGTTCAGTACACTGCAACCACAACAAAAGTACACAAATTTCTGGCAAATTTTTTATCAGGAATTTATTGTGCTTTTCAAGTAAACCAATTGCTGTACAAAGTGCAATGGAACCGGCACGGCGAGTGCTGGACGTTGTGGTTTGTACAATCCTCGTTGTAGTACTTTGCACAATCCCTGTTGTACTTTTATTGTACAGTTGTACTTTTGTTGCACTATCCACACTTTTTCATGCAGTGTAGCACGCGTAATAGTATCGGGCAATAATATCGCTGAGCGGAACACAAGTTCTGGTCGGGTCGACGCGGCGGCACCGAACGTCAGGTCAGGCGGGCATAGGCGGGCGAAGCGCGCCGCGCCAGCAGTGAGTGACCTTGAACAGAGCGCGGATGCGTCAGACGCGGATACAGGGGGCAGGGAGAGGGGTTTTTGTTTTAATTCGCGCGGTGCGCTCCCAATGGGTGTCTGCGTGAACCCACGCGCCAGGCAGCCCCCGGCAGCGCCAGGCAGCCCCCGGCAGCGCCAGGCAGCGCGCCGCTTTTTGGCAGTGTCGCCGGCCAGACGCCGGCCGCGAAGCGCAAGGGGACCGACACCCGGGGGACACTGCATACAGTAGTGGCACCCCAACGGCCCGATCTCACCCGCAGCGCGCTCGGGACAGGGGTTTCTTATTGCTCCTCACCCAGCACTGCAAAGCCAGTGGTAAGTTTACTTGCCACAAATTTGGCAAGCCGTTTTGAATGCCAAAATCTTCACAAGCTTGCCAAATTTTGGCAAGCTACGGAGTATTTCCATGCCAAGCTTGCCAATTTTTAGCATTGAAAACGGCTTGCCAAATTTGTGGCAAGTAAACTTACCACCGGCTTTGCAGAAGCAGTCTCCTGCGATAAGAAAACTAAAAGAAAACTTAAGAAAACTTCTAAACTTCTAAAGAAAACTTATCTCGTGAAACAGCCCCGCTGTACACGACCAGCCGCCCGGCCTACTGTACTGTGCAGCCAATGAGAAGAAATGAAAGGCGTGTGGGCAGGAATTGATTTCAACGCACCGCGCTGTGCTGAGTCGAGTGAAGCGGCGGCGATTCTCTCTCTCTCTCTCTCTCTCTCTCTCTCTCTCTCTTCTCTTCTCTCTCTCTCTCTCTCTCTCTCTCTCTCTCTCTCTGAAAATCCCCCCAATAAATACTTTAATTAAAAACTAAAACTCTCTCTCTCCCGTCTCTGTGTCAGGCGTGTCAGGTAGCGGCGGTTGGTCATAAACGCCCGCCAAACTCAGAGCGCGCCGCGCCTTTGTGTCCCTCGGGCCCGGAGACCCCCTGCCCCCGTTTTTTGAGCAGATGCTACACTTCGAAACTCTTCCAAACTATTTTAGTCCTTGCAAAGAAAAGTCGCTTGTTATGCAAAAGTATTTTGAGCATACGTATACAATGCAAATCGAGTGGGTGTGGCCGCCCTGGCCAACTTCCTTGGCAGTGTAGACGTGACTGTGTCGCCGTCGTCCAGGGCCGCCCCCACAGTTCGCAGGACTGTAAATTTGTTTATAGCTTTTCGTTTTCGGTACCGTTTAGGCCTTTTTTTTCAGTCCGTAGCTTTAGCGCCGAATGCCGGCCGGTTATTGGAGCTCTCAAAAAGCGCACCAGCCAGCCGTTCGGAAAACAACGCGTCCTTGTCCGCGGCTGCACGTGCACTCTGCAAACTGAAATGTGTGCATGGCACGCTCTATTTGGAGCATGCCAAGAAGCACGCTTTAAATTGGAGCGTGCTTGGCAGGCACGCTTTAAATTGGAGCGTGCTTACCAGGCACGCTCTAAATTAAAGCGTGCCTGCCAGGCACGCTCTATTTTAAAGCGTGCTTTAGCAAGCTCACTCTAAACTACAGCATGGACGGCAACCACACTCCTGAATGCTCGTTAATGGCTTTTCTTTTTAAATTAATTAATAAACATGTACTAATGCAAGGTTTCCATTTTATACTTTAAGGAAGCAACATTTCAAGTCTTGTTAGTACTGAGATGTGTTTTACGCCAACAAAGCTTCTCCGCTATTTTCACAACTATTGATGTATAAAATGGCACTGGTACAACGAGTTAGACCTGGGAGGTTTCTTTCAATAACCATGGAGGAAACAATTAAAACATTTCTCATCCAGAAATACACATCCAGTGTATGTTCAACATGACACTAGTTACTCACTCTTTGGACTGCCCAACAATCCATAGCAAAGTAACCTAGCCCTGTTGCTGGGTGGTGAAGGTCGAGGCTGCAGTCGCACGGAAGGAACACAGACTCGAGGTAAACTAGCTCCATACGTTTATCTAGCTCTTCCAGTCTCATCGTTTTCAATAACGGCGTTCCACAACACAACGCCACCACAAATCGCCAGCACAACGAAAATAAACTTCACATTTCAAGCGTCATAGCTGCCATTTTGAATTTGAAACACAACACAACGCGCTTGCGTAGTCAGCACTTTTTCATACGCTTTCTTATGAGAAATTGCTGCAGCACGTATGCGCCGGTGGGCTCGCAAACTGAACTCCGAACTTTCGTTCTTTTCATAAAGAAACATTTCAGACACAGATACACGAAGCACAATAAAATTCGATTATGATTTTTGTCACTTAATACCTTTAAATTGACAAATCCACTGCCATCGTTATTGAAATCATGTGTAGGTTGGCACTTCGGAAAAACAAGTGCTACCCAAGCAGACGACAAAATTCAAAATGGCAACATTGACGCAAATAGTGAAGTTTGTTTTCGTTGTGCTGACGATTTGTGGTGGCGTTGTGTTATGGCACGCAGTTATTGACAACGATGAGACTGGAAGAGCTAGATAAACGTATGGAGCTAGTTTACCTCGAGTCTGTGTTCCTTCCGTGCGACTGCAGCCTCGACCTTCACCACCCAGCAACAGGGCTAGGTTACTTTGCTATGGATTGTTGGGCAGTCAAAAGAGTGAGTAACTAGTGTCATGTTGAACATACACTGGATGTGTATTTCTGGATGAGAAATGTTTTAATTGTTTCCTCCATGGTTATTGAAAGAAACCTCCCAGGTCTAACTCGTTGTACCAGTGCCATTTTATACATCAATAGTTGTGAAAATAGCGGAGAAGCTTTGTTGACGTAAAACACATCTCAGTACTAACAAGACTTGAAATGTTGCTTCCTTAAAGT